AGTTTTAGAGATTGTTTGACCCAATCGTTTCGGGTGTTAGGGGAATTATTCTCTTTAACAACTTTGTGTTTAAGTAGTGAAGAATCAAGGATTGAAGTCTATTTTCAGGTAAATGTTCCGATAACATCACACCTCTATCCTATTATTCGTACACTGATGCATATAAAAATACATGTCTATTTAGCTATATTCCCAAATACTGTTATTAAAAATTCTTAGAAACCATAATACTCATAACAAATATTTTCCCCATTTAAATATCATGAAGTTGTTGCTGATAATATTCACTATATCACTATATTAGCAAGGTAAAATAGATTTCAGAATAAGGATTATTACCAGGAATACTCAAGAATATTTAATAATAGGAAAGCAGGAAATTTATTAGGAGGCAGAATATCACTTCTTTCTCTTTTTTTGTGGCACTGTAAATTGAATAGGAAACCTTCGCATGGAGCTACATTCCCAGGCCTTTTTTATTCAAAAGCAGGATCTCATTAAATGATTGAGTTGCCCAGGCTGGGTTCAAATTCACAATCATCCTGCCTCAGCCTCCCATAGTGCTGGGACTATCGGAATGCACCATCACACTAAGCTGGCATAATACTTCTAAAGATGTCGGTATATAGTAGTAGAAATTCCAAAACATGAAGCAAAAACTGATAGTCAGTGAAGGAGAATAAAAACCTCCTGAACTATATTTGAAGAATTTCACTTCAAAGTCAGCAATTGAAAGAACAAGCAGATAGAAAATCAGAAAAGCCACAGAAATATTACTGCATGACTCGATCTGTCTTTGAACACTAAAACATAAAAGTAGACTCTACACTTTTCCCAATGGAGAGTACATACTGGACCACAAGATAAGTTTAAATTTTAAAGAATTGCCAACACACAATATATATTCTTTGACAATGAATTAAATCAGAGATAAAGACCAGGGAGTTCTAAACAATATTTACAAATGTTAATAATTTATCAATTACTACACATCACTAGTGTATTTCTAAATAACCCAAATGTAAAAGATAAAAGTAGCAGAACATTAGAAAAAAATTTGAAGTAAGCAGAAATCACAATGCATTTCATCAAAATTTGTCTCAGACTGCTAAAACAATATTTTGAGGAAAATAGCACTGATAGTTACATTAGCAGAAAGGTCTGAAATCACTGCACTATACATGCATCCATTATGAGAAGTTCCAAAGAACAGCCAATTAACATGAAGAGAGAAGAAATTAGATAATATGAATTTTAGAGTATCAATGAAATATTAAATATAATGGGAAAATATAAAACCCAAAGATGAGCATTCAGAGCTCAAAGAATTAGATAAACATTTAACCAGGCTGATCTTTCTGTGAAGGGGTAGAGAAGTTATCAATAAAGAACATCACTACGGATCCTACAGACATACCACGATGGGGAAATACAGGCAGAACTTTACTTCATTAAATTCAACATCTTTGATTCACAACAAGAATTATCATCTGAAAAGATAATCTTACTATTTCTAAAGAAGTTAAACAGAAGCAATATTTATATAGTTAACTCTGAAATCATGTTTTATAGTGAAACAAATAAAGATAATAAATTTGGCTGAAGTATAGAAACTTTTTCTTAAAAATTGTATGCAACTGATATATTTTATCAAAATATCAAGCACTTTTATTGACTTAATAAAATAATATGTGCCAACATCTCTCCCGAATAAAGGGTGGACCTTTTCAACAGTTCTGTCCCTAGCATATTATCAAGTTTAAAAAAGGTGTCTGTTGAGCAAAAGTACCCATCTCTTCTTTTCTTATGATCATTCTAGATTCCAAAAATGTTTTCTGCAGAAAAAACACCATGTCTATGTCTGTAGTTATCTTCCTAAAAGATTTAAATTCATCATTTTATATTCATCTTTATACCAGCACAATTCGTAATAGCTGAATCTTAGGAGAGGCCTGTGTGTGCATCAACAGAAGAACAGATAAAGAAAATATGTATTTATACACAAGACAGTACTACTCTGCCATAAAGAAAGATAAACTGGAAGCATTCGTAGATGCAACTTGAGACCATGACACTAAGGGAAATAAATCAAACATACCAGATTAGATGTCACATGGTTTCTCTCCTATGAGAAACCAAAGCATAAATAAAATAAATGAGAGATAATAGGAAACAGTAAGATCTTTTTTAAACAGGGAAGGGAACAAGAAATGAAGGAGGTGGAAAGGAAGGGAAGGGAGGAATGAGAAAGAAATGAAGAAAACAAAATAGAAATAGAGCTTTTCCAGATGGGAAGAGGAGCCGGAGGTGGCTGGAGCAGGGAGGAGGGGACACCAGAGAGTGAAGACGCGCTGCACACGTGTGCAGCTCCCCACGGTAAATGCAATCGCTATGGACAAAAACACGCAGTAACAAATGCGTAAATGCAACGTCAGTAATGCTGTCACGTGTCAGTGTGACGATCTACTGAGAAAAATCGAGCACGGAAAGCCCTGACACACGGCTCACACTCTTTGAAACAGCTACATGCCCCAAAATTAGAAGTATAAAGATACCGAGGTGTGAGAAGTCACCGCTCCACGAGAAGAAGGGTCGCAATGCCACGGCGAGCAGAACCGCACGCTCGCACCCTGTGCGTCCACCCCTGGAGCACAGGAGACTGAGCAGATCCTCCTCCAGCTCCCCAGAAGAAAGACAGAGGACCAGGTTAGAGCGAAGACGGAGGAGCCGGCAGGGGAGACCAGGAGCAGGAACACGCCTGTGCGTGGAGACACTAAGGCCGGATGCCGCTGGCCTCTGCCTGGGACGACTTAAAATTACTCACATTTTCTCAAAAATATTTTCTAATGCCTGACTTTTCACTAAGAAACAGTGACAGGATTGGAAACCTAAAAAATTATGTTTCGTGTACATTGCAACCTTGTGTAGAGCTCACATTTTCATGTCAAGAAACCATTTTAGAGGAAATTTAAGAACCTGATTAGTATGACACTAATAGAAGTCATTATTTGATTAATAAAAGTTTCAATACTGAGAAAGACATAATAGCATTATCAGCAGGTCCACAGTGACATTTCTTAACATGAGCTTCAATTAATGATTGAAATTTTTTAAAAAATAAATTGAAATTTGTGCATTTTAGCAATAGTTTTTGTCTGAGGTCCTCTTGCTGTGACACCTTGTCTAGTAAATAGTAGTTCATTTTAGGAGTTTCAAAAACGTTATTAACTTCTAAATTATATGATTTTATTAAAATTATTCCATATGTTGATATATTTCTTTAAAAAGGTACAGTATTTAAGTTAACTGATATTCTAATTAACCATTTACTAGTCTCTGTTGAAAAAGACAAAATATCAGGAATCTCAGAATTTTTAGATCATTAGGTAATCTTATGCCATAATCTATATAATGGAAGACAGGTAGATTTTATTTTCCAAGAACTAGTTTTGAAGCTGAAAGCATTTACAGTATTAGACATGTAGTATGTTAAAATCCAACATGTCTGCTAGCTCTTTCCATGTGGTCATCACTGTCCTACCCAATACTGAATTTTGATTGCATGGCTTAATTTTCTTCTGCACAATACAAATTGTAATTATCTTTTCAAAGTCAGATTGCTGAATTATCGCTAGTGACTTGCTCGCTGCTAACATTTATGTTAAAGTTTTGGGTTACTTTTGTTATAACAGAAGAGAGAACAGATTTGGACCCTTAACCACTCCATCTGCCTTTACTGGAAGAAATACAGACACTAGATAGGGAATTGCCCTGCCCCTCAGTGCTTTTTCTTTTTCTTGCTTGAAATTTCTCAGTTCCCAATTTGGGAGGGAGTCGGAGCAGACTGTAAGATGTTCTAGCGGTTCAGAAAGACAAAAGGACTCCCAAAGGCCTCTTTTCCATTCTGCACGACCTACTCGCAGAACTGTGGTGCGAGGGGGAATGCTTGGCTCGTGGGCTAAGGAAGTGAGGAGGAGCTCACACCCTCCAGCTTCTAAATATGGCTCCCCAGGACTGGTGTTGACCTTGGAGAAAGTGCCTGGTAACAGGAAAAGAAAACACAGAAGACAGCCATGGGCTGGGCAGCGCAGGCCACGCTGCTGTCTGAAACTGGTAATCACGGGGATTGCACCTGCAGCAGGAAGGTTTGAGAGTGGACCGGTTACCAAACAAAAACAAAAATATGTGCAAGCACACAGAGATTCATGCAGTCAGTGTGAGGAACTCTGATAAAAGTGCAAGTTACTTTCAATGGCGAGCTGGTGTCCTTACCCTGCCCTTATTCCATTTGCCTGGTTGGTGAGGGCTTCCTGACTGACCCAAATCATCCTTCTGTAAGTCATCTGAACCTCGAAAGCTCAGCCATAGACTTGGCAAGCCATTCCCCCAGAGCAACGTCAACTGATACGCATGTGAGCATTTGCAATGGCACTGTTCCCTAAGCGTCCAAAGCCAATATGTGTGCACAACAATACTCTAAGGCACATTTCCAAGTCTTCTATGTTAACCCCAGGAAATCCTTGTGGAAATGGAAGAAATACCATTAGAATAACACATGCAGTCACCAATTTTGAGGCCAATGTCTCAAATTTATTAGTAGAGTATTTTAGTAGTTTAACCTCCCAGCTTTTCCTACTGCTGAGGAGTCTCATAAAGCGCAGGTTTCTGAATTCACCAGGTGGATGTCAAATCAGAGATGCTGAGCTTTGGGTTCTTCATCACTTTCCCAAGCACCCAATTCAAACATCAAAGAAACTTATGGGAATAAAAGCAGCACACACTTCTAACATTTTCCTAAAAACTGCCTCCAAAGCCACAAAGCCTCTTGCTTTTAGCCAATATTTCAGATAGTCAGGTTATCCACAAAGCACTCCCTTAATCTTCTAAAATCAATCATCTGAATACCTTACTATCTTCAATCTATTAATGTTGAATCTGGATAAGAAAGAGAAATAGGGTTCAAATAACATTTCCCCCAGAGCGTCGATCAACTCTCTTACCATCGAACGTTAAATACACTCTTGCTTGGGGCGAGGAAGATCCTTTTACGCAGATAGAACAGATAAATACTCCAACCAACATGCACGCTGCCCGGAATGCCATTTCTTCAGATTCAAAAGTTAATATCCAGGAGAAAATACCTTTAAAAGAGAGATAACAAGCTTGTTACATGGTATTTTACATTTTAGCAGCGAATCAACAAAACACAGCAACTTACACAAAACAAGCCACCAAAAACTGCATGTGAATTTTTACAGTACAACCAGCAGTAGGAGGTGCTATGCCTTTGCTTCTCGGCTGTGAAAATTAGATTTGATTTGTCTCTAGAAGTCTTTGCAAGAAGAAAATTATTTATATTCCAGCAAAACATGCTAATATCACAACTGGGGAGGAAAAAAAAAAAACAGCGACAGAAAAACTTACTGACTCCTAGAGGAAAGCCAATGATTCATCTGGTCTTTTCTCTAAAAGTTTATTCCATTAAAATAACTGGGGAGCGGTACCCACCGGGTGCCCTTCGACACACACATAAACGCGCAGCAGAACTCTCCGTGGACATTCACCCACCCCCTCCTCTCGTGCCTCTTGGCTCTCTCCTAGTTCCTGCCTCTGAAATGGGGTTTCCGTGCACAAGTCCCTACTGCTCGGCCTTGAGTGGTAACATCACTGGCACCCCTTAAGGGTCAGTGTGTGCAGATGACCAGGCAGCTGCTCTGTGATGCCGATGAGGTAACCCTGGCCCCGTGCCAGATTCGAACCAATGACCCAGCGGTGAGTAATCCAGGGAGCCCGTCTCCACCGATGCATATTTTAAATAAATCAACCAGAAAATGGGCTGTCAAATTCCCAGCCATAAATCAAAGAGACAAGCACTACTGCTTGAACCGGTGGCTGTAAAATTGATACGTGCTGTTAACTAAGGTTTGAGTAACAAGGAGGAACCCGTAAAGTGCTGGGAGCACCCCACAGGAGCTCTAGGGGCCGCGGGGTGGGAGACAAACTCAGGACCCCAGCGGAAACCTCATGGGGTTGAATCTCCTGTCATTTACCATAAAATGACACAGCCGTATCCTAGGAACGTATTTCACAGGTAACAGCAATACTGGTCGTGATTGGTATGTGGGTTTTTACTCTGCAATTCTATTCAGTAGACAAGTGCCATGAAAAAAAAAAAAAAGGAAAAAACTGCTTCATTAATGTAAAATAAGGATAATGAATGCCAACACAGAATCTTAAACATTATGCCCTGCACAGCTATGAGGATTAGAAATCCTAGGCTCCTTCCCTCAGCCCCAACAGAGAAAGCCTTCTCGATGTTTGGGTTTGGTAATTCCCAAAAGAAACACTTGCTTCCTGCTTCCACGACCTGGGCACCCGGCCACGCCTGAATTAACTTAGGAGAAAACGCATCTTCTGGGTGACTTTGCCCCTTGATTTTGGTAACTTGATCATCAGAGCCAAAGGAGAAGCCAAGCTGTTACCCCGCTCCCAGTCACCCACCCCCCCCCCCCGGCCTCCACCTGTTTATGAAGGCAGAGGGCATCGCCCGAGTTCACCGACAGCCACCCTGGGGTCGGCGTCCGAGCAGATCGGTCCCCTCCCGGGGCCGCAGGGAGGCCGGGGTGGGATAGGATGGGATGGGATCGGGACGCATGGAGACGCGCGGGGACAGCGGGGCGCGCGGTCCGCTCCAACCCTGCCGCGCGCGTCTGGTGCACCTCTCCCAACCCGGACAGCGCCAGGTGCCGAACCCGCGCGCCTTCTCCGTGGGCCCCTCAGCGGCCCGGCCCCGACCCCGTGCCCGCAGGTGTCACCGAGTCGCCCGCAGCGGGACCGGCACCGGCACCGGCACCGGGACCCGGACCCCGCGCGCGCCCTCGGCCCCGCGCCCCGCGGCAGCCGCCGTCAGTGCGCTCACCCGGCCGGGGTCCTCCTGGCTGCGCTCGCGGCTCGCGCCGGCGCTGGGCTCTGCTCGCCGCTCTGCTCCTGCTCGGCCGGGCTTGGGCTCCGGCTCCCGCCGCGGCGCCTTTGTAGCTGCGGCGGCGGCGGTGTCCGGTTACAGCGCGGACCGAGCCGAGTGGCGGGCGCGGACTCCCCGCCTCCTTTTAAGGCGAAGAGTTGCGTGGCTCAGAGGCGCGAGTCCGGTCTTCAGCCTGCTGCAATTTTTCTTTTTCCTCCACTTTGAAACCAGCCCGGGCCGCCCCGCAGTCCAAGCGGGGCGTCAGTCCCTCCGTCCGTCTGTCCTCCCGTGCGTTCGTCCGTCCGTCCGTCCGTCCGCGGCGCCTCCCGCAGGTCCCGCCCCGCGTTCCACTCACCCGCTCCCGGCAGCGTCCCCGACACCCCTCCGCGCCGCGGAGCCTAACGCCGCTCCGGCGACCTCTGCCTGGGCCGGGAGAGGAGCGCAGACCTCGCCGTTCACTGCGCGCTCCAGCCGGCAGATGGCCCCCTTACAAGCACCGGGCCTCCGTCCACCCCGCACCCCGGCTTGCTTCACCGGCAGGCGGGGTCAGGAGCCCTGCAGCCCGGGGGCCGCGCCCCTGGGGACCCAGACGCCCTCTCCCTTCTCTCTGGTGGACGCAGGTGACAGCTCAAATCCCAGGCCACGCTCTATGGCAATACTGGCTTTATTGTAAGAACTGGGCAAGGGGCCCTGAACAGTCAGTTTCCAAAATAGGACAGAGGATTGTCCAAAGCAGGAAAACAGAGGCATCTTTAATCTCACAAGGTGATGCAAATTAGAGTCTGCGCGAGAGGTCCCTCCCACCTGTTAAAATAGCTCTCACCACAAAGACCAAGGCGCGCTGTAGGTAAGAAGTAAGTTAGGGTAGGCACTCGGTCCTTTAAAAATTAAAAACCAGTTCCCTGATGATCCAGCAGTCCCTCTTCTGTATGCCTACCTGAAAGGTCTGAATTTGGTGTGTTGGAGAGATGGCTTGTTCTCAGCCTCCCTGCAGCTGTGTTCACCGAACCAAGTCACGGATCAGCCCATTGTCAATCACGGCCATGGACAGATAGGGAAGACTGATCACAGAACATACCGGATTTATGGGATTTCAGGATGCAATGGAACAGAAACTTCAAAAGGAAGAAAATTCCCCCATACCACCATGGATGGAATCAGAAAACATCACGCTAAGTGAAACAGACAAAAACCAAAAATAACAAGGCCACGTGGTTTCACACGGGGAAACCTAGACAGTGAAACTATAGAGACAGAAAGCAGCGTGGGGCAGGTGGCAGGTAACAGGAGATCACAGAAGAGAAGTTGCAGTTAAATAGGAAGGTGTATGACCATAACAATTACGTCACTATTGACTTATAAATACGAAGTCATTAGAAACCAATGAATCTACAGATGATCACCAAAACAGAATTCATGTAAACACTGCATTTCAGAGAAGCAAAACAAAAACGTAAGGTGAGCGAGTGGCAAATGTGCATTCATAAGGGAGTTTAATTACAAACTGGATTTTCAAACGACTCAGTGAATCAGTCAGCCTCTCACACAAATCTGTAAGGCTTTGGGGACCGTGACAAATGGCTTAGATTAAATCATGGTCTGAAAGACTTGTGCCGAGATTCCCTGAATCTGTCTTGCCTGAGGAAACCTTTTGATTCAAGGTGCTCCTGGGGTTCAGTGGTACTTACTTAATCCCAAGCCATGTACAGTTGGACACGCCTCAAATTGAATCATAAAGTACTGATAGGCATTAGGAAGGAAGCTGGACACAGGACAGGGTCAGGTGCAATCACTTGGAGTGGCCGTGCATGGAAGTTAGAGGGTGGATTAGGTGTCCCTAATAAAAGTCACCCCCCCACACACATGCTGCTTATAACCTGAAACACCTTGACAACACTGGTTTTAAGTGGGAACTTCGGAGGCCGGAGGCCTGGCACCCTTTACTTAGGCTACTGCGGTCTGTGACCCGGTGCTGGAAGGTGAAAACAATGTGAGCTGTGTGGCAGTCACACGGGAAGGAAGGTCAGTAGGCAGACCTACAGGAGTGGTAAGAGCTCAATACACATCTGCCCGTGAAAAAGTCCTTGGGAAACTCTCAGCGTTGAAATACTTAGGAGCGCCTTTGGAAAGTCTGTAGTTTCAATGTTTATTTGCTTTCTTTATAATATCACTCTTGCTTCTCCTGGAGTGGCTCAGAGACCAAGCCGGTCCGACAGGTCTGGTGTACAAATTGTAATGTAGAATTGCTATCTGATGGGCTTTGGTGTGGCCTCTGTCAGGGCTGTTCGTTAATTTTCAATAGGAATGAACATGTGTCCACTTTGCTTCTTAGTCCATCCCTGGGCCGTAACCTCGTTCAGGACCTTCTCTTCTGTGGACGTGAAGTCTGAGCTGTGCATCCCTAACTGTACGACCCCTGTCGGGACGGTGGTTTGTTCTACTGGTCAAAAAGAAAATTCTAATTGTTCACCTTGTTATACCTTTGTCATTTAAACCAGACAGAGACACATCATCACATATGCAGCTCAAATCTTTAATAGCTCTTTAAATATCCTTAAAGCATCTCAGAAACAGTGAACTGCAGGATTTCCCATCTCCACCAAAGTAAGTGTATCGCCACTCGTGTTTATGTGTCACAGTAGAGCACTCGTCAAGGAGAATAGCAAAGAAGTGCAGGAGCGAGGTATGTAAGTGATGTTGCTTTAGTACAAAAACGTGATGCGTGCAGGATAGAAGGTGCAAGTATGTCGCGATGCTGACACTCACCTCCCAGGGGTGAAAAGTTTGTTCCTCCGTGCTGGGTTTTCCTGGGAAAGCCCCTTCAGGAGTATGCCTTTCAGATGAGCTCTACAGCATTGCAGCTGCAAAGACCCTGCTGTTAAGTGTTGGACATGGATCTGTTCGCCCACACACACGGACACAGTGTTTTCAGTAAAGCCAAGCGCTTGGAGGGTGCTATGTTTCTGGGTGCTGTTTCCCCTTGGCCGGAGCTGTACACCCTTTCACTGTCCTGTGTCTGTTCTTCACGATGCAGAGAGGCCTCTGACCACCAGATTCCTGTAATGAGGCCCCAAAATCACAACCAGCTGAGCCCTGAGGGCAGGGCTGTGAGTTCTGACCAATGGACTCCCGTCTCCTGCCCATCATCAGCAGGCAGGCGGATGGGTTTGCTGGACCTCTGCAGATCTGCCTGCTTTCCTACTCTTCTTGAGCTCCAAGTTGCTGGCTAACAAGGAGCATTAGACTGTGAAGATGACTCTCAGACCCTAGCTGATGCATTTGCTTGAGGAGAGGCATAGGATATACTTAGAAGACTTGAAAAATAACAACCGCTTCTTCTGTTTATCTGGTTTACTTTTAGTCGTGAATCTTAATACTTTGAAGATTCTGGTGACATACAACTCTGTAATGAAAGACAGAGAATTTCATTCTTTAATGAAATGCACAACAGAATGCAGGCTACGGAGCTCTGAATACAGGTCAGTCACGTCTGTTTCCATGCTGGGCTGCATCCATGGCAAAGGACTCACTGGAGCTTGCCCTGGACGTGGACAGCAGAGGCAGTATGATAAAGGGCAGGCAGTGGCAACAGATATTTTACAAATATTATTACTTTTAACCTCCATAAGAGTCCTAAAAATAAGACATAAATATGACCATAATGCAATAGAGGAAAACAGTTCGGAAATTTAAGGCACCCTGCCTTACCTGAACCCACCAGCAAGGACTGCAAGTCAACCCATCTCTAGGTCCATATACTTCCTACCATCTATGATTTGTTGGTGTATTAATTGAACAAAAGTCTAAGAAATAGAAAAAGGAGTGTGCAGACCTAATTTCCCTTCCCAGGCTATTTAGTTTTCCAGTGTTTTCTGCTTTGTTGGGTGATGATCAGATTACCTTCCAAATTTGCATAATACATTTGAGCACTGCAGCTCCATTATGAAATTATACACAGCAAAATCAGCATCTGATTCTGCTTAGTGTCTTTTAGAATATCCAGAAATGGGATGATTGATGTCCAGCTCAGACACACAGATGCAAAGGATTCAGGGAGGATGGGGAGAAGGGAGGAGGAAAGCAGTGATGCTGACCAGATCGCTCAGTTATATGGCAAAGCCATAGGGACTATTTGACTGTCCATTCTAGGACACTTGTAGTTACACACTTGGGTGCTATCCCCTTCAAATGTCTGGTGAGGAACTCATGAAAACACAGTGAACGGCAATCCACAGACACCTCCGCACAGTGTATGGAAGCCTCGGTCACAGGAAACTCCTCAGAATCAAGCAGGGTCAAGCCTGCCCCAAGTCACAAGTCACAGGACATTTGTTCTGTAAATCGTTACCAGAAGTGATTTGCTCACTGGCTGAAGGACAACCTGCAGCCTGTTCTGTGGTTTCGGACCTTGCTTCCTCTCGCCTGGACTGGGTGTTTCCTCATGCTCCTTCCCTTCCCAGGTGCCCTGAACTCCCCGCCCCTTCACGTCCTCCGGTTCCTGGGCCACACCATACCCACCTCCTTCCCCGGCTCTCCACGTGCTCCCTCCCTTCCTGAGCGCATCCCACCTGCAGATCTTCTCTTAACTGAGTCTCACCTCAAGCTGTTTCCGCACACACTCCTTTTCTGTGGTGCTAAGTGAAACTCATCAAATTCTGGATGCTATTACACAGTAATAGCTGTTGGTTTTGAAGTCAGGTAGATTTTGATTTTAATCTCTAATTCCTAATTTACTAACCGCCTGTTTTGGATATTGGCTGGCTTCCAATTATAATTTTATTGATAAAACGTAAATAGAGTCAATCAATTCTGGGCTTATCTGCTAATTAAATACTAATAATATGTGATAGCATCCTTCTCACTTCTGTATTTCCATAAGCTTGTCTCTCTGCTGTATCACTGAAGGCTATGATTATGTGAAATTTATAATTATTGATTCCCTGGACATAGGAATCATGGGCCCTTCTGGAGTAGCAAAATCCAATCTTGGCACAAGAAGATGGCTGAAAAATAAATGCTCAGTTAAGTGGAACATCTTTTTTAGTGTGGACCATAAAAACCTAAATAAAATATTGTGTCATCAACAGCATGGCCTTTCAACACACGCAATTTCTTAAGTAATCATTTTGCAAGGTTCATAATTTCACTCCCCACGTGATGCATATGCAGCATTATCCCTTCAGACAGATCTTAACTGCATTTTGAGTTTATTAAAAAAAAGTGGAGATGTGCATGCTCCCTTGATTTTTGACAATGAACTGCTGAGAACCAAATGGTATGAGTTAGCTTTAAATTCATTTTTTAAATTTAACTTTGAAAATTAATACTCAGCAAATGTGTTTGAGGCTTCTGTTTACAATTTAAAACCAGATTCTCTGAAAATTATGTCATGGTAAAAATAAAATAGCTGGGAATGTAACTCAGCAGCACAAGCAACTGCCTGGCAGGCCCGAGGTCCTGAGTTTGATTCATGTACCAAAATAATAATAAT